CAAATGGCATAACTCCTTGGATATTTATATTCCTTCTGCATTGCTCTTTCATTTCCTCAGCATCTCCCCCCACAATTTTCTGGCAACTAGTCATGAATATGTTGTTTCTCTGACTGCCTTCAGTTGCTAATGTGGCAGCTTCTGAGGCTGTAGTGAATTAGCCAACTTTTGATGCTGAGCCATTCTATTTGGTTCTTTGTTACTGGCATCCATGTCCTCAATCTGCTAAAAGAACCATTGTTAATGCTTAATGGGAGTACACAATCGTGTGTTGAAGGGAAGAAGCTTTTCCTCCCCCACACTTGTTGTGCAGTTTGCCTAATTACTCTCACAGTGCACAGGTTGCCATGTCATCCAGCCTAATCAGGTGCTTGATGGAGGAAAGCTTTACAACTGTCCACGGACCCGTCACAACACACCTTGCTGGGTTTGGATATTATGGCAAATTGAGTGGCGTGTGACTGGCTTGCAACAGGGCCATGGCTTCTTTGTTTTGCACAATTGCACAGACCAGGCCTGTGTGTACCTTTGCATTGAAAACTCAGATAATGTCGATTGTAGAGAGTGGGCCTGTTGCTCATCTGATAAATTTTTCTGATTCTGAAGAGGAGGTGGAATAGTGGGGTTGGCGGGGGCAAGGACTTGGAAATTTCAAGGTTGCCTAGTAAAGCTTCTCAGGCTGGGAGTGCGAATCGGCCTTTTGGAAGGGGAGGAAGGTTTTTGGGAGGGGAGGGGGAGCAGTTGTGAGACCCTGTCCTTGACCCACAAGAGGTGAAAAGAGGAGGAACCAGCTGCCCAGTTAGATGGTCTCACAAGGTCTTGTCTTCTAGCAGCAGGGAAGGTGTCAGAAGCTTTACTGAAGTGGGCTTTGGAGGGGAAATTTCAGCTCTACATGGGCAGAGGATTCTCCTTCAATTTGGGCAGAAGGGTATTCAGAGTTAACATTTTCAGGCATCTGTTCAGTTTCAACAGAAGAGTTGCATTCCAGAGGGTTGTTTTGAGTTTGGTAACCAGCAGAAATGGGACCAGCCTATGACATTCATTTATCATTCAACTTTATACATTTAAGGTGTGACTCTGATATCTTGAAGATACGTATTTCCTGGTGGTGGGAGGGGAAATCTATATAGCTTCTTCCTCCCCTTCCCAGTATAAAAGGAGTGGAATAACCTGATTAGGTGACAGGCTTTCCAGAACCTGGTAGCAAAAATATTTTGTGTATATTTGATTCAGCATGAAAGTTCCACATCAGTCTGTGTCAGTGTATAACATAAAAAGATAATTTGTGAAAGTTGTCAGGATGAGGCAAACTGAATCTCACATGGGTTTCAATCTTTGTGACAGCTGTGCAGTTGAGGTCTAGACAAGGTATGGTTCCCCTGTCATTGTAGCAGATTTGCTGGGTTGGTGCTTCCTTCCTGTCCTCCATTCTGGGGCTGGCATTATTTGAAATAACTCCCTTCTACTTACGTGCAAATTGAGTGGTTTGCCCCCTGGGAAGCAAAGGTTACAGCTGTGATAGGTGCCAAGATTTCTCTTTGAAAAGAAGCTCGCCCTGCCCCTACCCCATCCACACTGATAATGCTGAGTGAATGAATTTAGTGCACTCAGCTGTGGGTATTTAGTGCTGTGCGGGAAGGTCTGACCTAGAAGGTTCTCTTCCCTTTGTACAGTTGCCAGTTTGCATCAATCAGTTTGGGATAAAGTGGTAAAGGAGATGGCAAGTTATTATTGGAAGAAATGGGTGGCAGTGGAGGCTGCTTAGAAAGCAAGACTGCAAAGAGCCCCATTTAGAGGATCCTTTCAGAAAAATGAGTATTCCAGGTTTTTTAGGTGCTACCCATGTCCCCACTTTCTCATGCTCTGTCTCCCCCCCTTACACTTGCATGTTTCTTTCACTTGAAGACTTTCTTTTTGTTTTACTGCTACAGAGGCAGGACAACTGTCTTTAATTTGTAACCTGCAGGATGACATTCCCTAACTTTTAGTAGGTATTCAGTCTTTTGTTTTGTTTTCTTTTTGCCATCTTGGAACATAGCAGAAGGTGGTTGTCCAAGCACAAAGATGCAAAAACTAGTTTTGTGGCATATCTGTGCAAGCAACTGGAGACAATGCTCAAAAAAAATATCATAGGCAGGCTTCTGAGAATGAGCTGTGCTTAGGTTCTTCTACCCCCCCCCTCTCTCTCTCTCTCTCTCTCTCTCTCTCTCTCTCTCTCTCTCTCTCTCTCTCTCGGGCAGGCAGGCAGGCAGGCAGGCAGGCAGGCAGGCAGGCAGGCAGGCAGGCAGGGCCGGCTGGCCAGCGGGTGCTCTCCAACCTAAATGCAAGGTTGAATGAACAGCCCTTGCATTTGAAAGCATCAGTTAGAGCAGCCTTCTCCAACCTGGTACCCACAGGTATTTAGACTATGGCTTCCAGCATTCCTGACCATTGGCCATGCTGACTGAGGCTGGTAGACATTGAAGTTTTAAACATCTGATGGGCAGCAGGTTGAGCAAGACCATTCTAAAGGTTAAAATATATTGGCTCAAAATGCAATATGGGAGAACTATAATTGTATCACTCCATGTCACAGGAGTGCTATTTCATGGATCGTTACAGTATTTGTTCCATTTCACAAAGAACAGTTTTTCTGCATATGAATCTGTCACATTCCACTTAAGCTCAGTATGAAGAAACTGTTTTTTGCTTGTGGAAATTAAAGGCATTTCACACTCCACCAATTATGCTGCAAGCCAAAATTATCCTGCTGGAAACTGTTCTTCCAGCGCTGGTACACAAAGTCATTCTTGACCAGATGCACAGGCCATGGGCTTCCATACCTTTTGATACAGGAATTCCCAACATGGCATCTGTGTGCCTCTTCCAAGGCCCCCTCCAGACTCTTGCTGCATCCTTGTACTTTCTTCCCATTATGCACTTGAATGACGTAATTTCTCCATAGACCTGTGGGGAGGGGGACTGCGATTGCAAAAACCAAAAAAATCCCAGCCGATGCTATTGAGGAAGCCTCTTCTCATGTCAAGGGCCTTTGGGTAAGCAAAATATTTGGTAGGAGGAAGGCTTCCTCCCTCCAGCTGCTCTTCCCATGCAGTTGGAGGTATGAATCGGGAAGGGGGGATGTGTTCTGTTTTCTTTCCTAGTTTTTTCTGAGTGCAGTCTCTGTTCTCTACCCTCTCTGTGAAAAAATGAACACACAGGAGGGGATGTTTCTAATCTTTGTCAGTACCCTAACAGTCAGTTTTTGGTCATTCCCACAACTTAAAATGCTGAATACGTTCACCGCTTCCAAAAGGTCGAGGACCCCTGAATACTTAAGTACCAGAGAGTTATTTCAGCAGGTACAGTTTGTCTCCTCTACATTCTGCTAATTCCCCCTCTTATACAAATCCTGCATAATTGGCTGTATTTGTAAGACTTCATTCTCCTTTAAGTTTTCTGATGCATATGCAAGTCATAGATGGATATTATTTTTTTCAAGATAATCTGATATTTTTAATGAGTGAAGGAAAAACTCAGTTTATATATGAAGTAAGGAGAAGGAACGATTTACTTTTTGGTTTTAGTGGGTAGGGCTGCTTCAAACATTGTAAACTCTCTGCCTTTGGGGAAAGTCCTTTCTGTAACACCCATGGTTGGAAAACCAGATAGAGAACTGCATGCATGCTCGTCTTTTTTAACAGTGTGTGTTATACAGAAATGCAGATATATGTAACTGTACTAGTGGCTTCCATGTATGAAATTCGTAATTTCTGATGAATGGTTTGGCAGCTTAGCAATGAGATTACTGTTCTATATTCATGAAAACTGCATTGCTTACATTGCTATATTAAAAGATTTTATTACAGAAAGGTGTGGTGGGGAGAGACCGCGAGCAAATGAGAAAAGAACAAAGGCTCACTAGCAGGGCCTGATGTAAAGGAAGATAAAGCTATTCTATTTTTACCTATATGTATCTATGTAAAGCAGGGTGAGCAACTTGTGACCCTCCTGATGTTTTGGCTTTCAAGCTTCATCTTTCCTTGCAGCTGGCTAAGACTGGGAGGTATTACCAAAACATCTGGAAAGTCACAGGTTCCCAGCCCTGATGTCAAGTTAGGTGAATGCTTCAGTTCCCAGTTGCAAACATTTATTTATTTATGCATTTATTTTGATATGCTGCTTCATATCTAGACAGATTCTGAAGCAGTGAACAGTGAAAAAATGAAAGATAAAGGGATATATTAAACGCATTTGAACCATGGCTGATTCTCAAGGAATGCTTTGCAGCACAAAAACATGTTTGTTAGCAACCAAAACCAACATAACGTGAGAGCCTGCCTGACTTCCAGAGGCAGAGTTCCACTGAAGTGGAAATGCCTCAGTGAAATATTTTCTATTGGTAGACTCATGCTGGGCCATAGATTCATGTGGAGCCGCTAAGAGAATGTCCTCTGATCTGATGACCTCTGTGATCAGGCAGGTTGGTAAAAGAGAAAGCATGTTACTATGTGACTTGGTCCCAAGTTGTTTAGGGCTTTCTACACTGGTACCAGAACCTTAAATCTGGTCTGGTAGCAAATAGACAGCAAGTGCAGTTCCTTCAGCAAAGGAGTTGCATGTTGAAAAGGGGCAGCTCCTGGCAGCAGCCAAGCTGTTGCATTCTGCACTAGCTCCGGCTTCCAGAGCAACTTTAAGGGCAGTCCCACACACAGCATGCTGGGAAATCCAGTCCTGAGATACTAGTACCTGTGTGGCTATACTGCCCCTGTTTGGAACAGGCTGTCACTGGCTTTGCGGGGTCACCTGGTCTCATTGCTTCTTCTCAGGCACTGTGTTTTGCACTTAACCCCTTTTCCTTGGGTACCACTCTGTGCTTACCTTGCTTTGTTTAGTAGGCAATACAGAGTATTCTTGGACATCAGTATAATATTCATACTGACACCGTGGTCTCATGTATCATGAAATACAAACTTTCTAGCCTTGATGATTATACTTTTAAAAACATCTGTTTCTTTCAGCCTGTTGCAACGACACCCCCTCACCATGGACTGAAGGAAGAGCTATTAAGCCAAAGCAGCAGTGTAACCCAGATTTCGAATGCCAGTGGTGTCTCCTTGGGAGAAGTGATCAGACGTAGATCTGTCATTAATCAGGTAATTTCACAGAGTACTCAGCATAGTGTGTGTGTGTGTGTGTGTGTGTGTGTGTGTGTAATTGGAATATTCACATAGGAACATGGAGAAATGGAGAAATTGAATATTTTGAATACACGAAATGAGTTAGGGCTTCAAGTCAGGGTCTTGTGGCATCGCAGGCACGGTCTCCTCAGTTTTGTAGGAATAGGCACTTGTGCACTTTGATTGCATAGAGAGACATGGGCCTTAATCCGAGGGAGTGATGTCCCCCTGCTATTAGGGATACAGGAAGCCTCTCTTACGATTTCAGGAGCTATGTTAAATGTACTGGGTTGGGTCTGGAGTGTCCCTTCTGTAAAAGAAGAGCTCTTTCCATTTACTGAGACAATGAGATCCAGCAGATACTCCTGCTGGAGAGAGGTGGCAATACATTAGTCTTTTAATTCTCTCTTCCCTCTGTAGTTCCCTGTGTAACTTACAGCACTGTTCTGGAGGTCCTCCCATCCTCTGGAGCAACTTCTTTTGGGGAAGGCGAAATGGATAGTAATGTCTCTTCCTTCCACAACCTTCTCCAGCAAGATACTCCAGTGAATTGAGTTATGCTCAGAGGACTCAGTCATCTTGTAGACAGTTTTGGAGGTCGAACACTGGCTTCTCAATACTCTGGATTTCCACAGAGAGCTATTTGGGTCTGCTTATCCTTCTGCATTCTATGGGTTTGAAGTCACGAGATTGCAAAAGTCATCAACCGTAGCCTAGAGCAGGGGTGGCAGACTTCAGGGTGCAGAGGACCACTGTGTTTCTTGCTAGAAGTCCAAGATGTGCCACCAGCGCTTCATGCCCTTCTTTGATGGAAATAATAGAAAAAAAAAAAAACTTCTGCGCCAAAGGTATCTGAGCAGAACTTGCAGTTTTTCTGCTGATAATTATCTCAAGATTTCTTACCTTCAGCATTATAATTTAGAGAGAGTAATTTCATTGATTTTGCTTTTGTTAAAGCAATTGGGCATTAGATTTCCTTGCTGATCTACTGCAGTTCATACAGACATCTTCCAGCAGATTCAGAATTGCTTTCTGCCCATCCCTGCAGAGTCTGCCGTCACTACAGATCTCTTGAGACTGATCTTCTCTATTTCTCCCCGCCCCAGAACCTGTTTGCTTGTATAGGTAAATAAAGTAAAGATTGGCCCCACAGTAAAAGAGGGGATGATAACAGAAAAGATGGATGGGGCCTGTTTGTTTGTTTTTGAGACTTGCTGATTTTTCTTGCCTCTCGCTCCTCTTGTGTTGAGAGGTGAGTGAGTGATATAGGGGTGAGTTAGTGTGTTGGACCGTGAGTCAGCAGACCTGAGCTTAGGTCTACTCCACTTTCCTTCGTGCACAGCTCACTTTGGGCCAGGTAGTGACTCTCAGACTAAGGTATCTCACAGGACTGTTGTGAGGATAAAATATAGAGGAGAAGGACTGTGTGAATCACTTTGGGTTTCTTGCAAGAGAGAGGAAAAAAAGCAGAGTATAAATTTAAGTGATAGTAACAAAGTATCACCCAACTTTCAACAACCCCCCACGTGCCCTAAAACAAGTGAGGGTAAGCTTTCAGGCTGGCTACACACAGAGTAGGCTGCACCTTAACTTGCGTGGCCATCCAGAGAAAGGCAACTGTAGCGTGACTGTGTAAACTTTGGTGAAAAGGGGGCTCATTTATAATAATGGTCAGTGTAGACTTGATGTATGGGTATAACATGTATTAATATTGCGCAACAGTTGGTCTCATTAATCAAATTCTGTGTACTGCTATGGATTTTGTGATGTGCAGAGTCAATAACAGAGTGATTAGGGCGGCATGCCTTACTTGCTTACCTGTTGAACACAGAGGGACCTACTTTTCCGTCATGAGGTTGAGCCGTATGTTTATTCTGCAGGTCCCTTGTACGGTGTTAATTAACTTATTTTGGCCAGATATCATGACACGGAATCAAAACCACCTACCCGCAATCTATTTTGCCAAGGTGTTTTTTTAATACCACTTTTACAGATCCCAGACTTGTCTTCTGGTCAATTCTCTTATTCCCTCTTCTACTCACTATCTTGTATTCCCAAATTTTCATCATGTTAAACTAACCCAGAGTTTGTTTCATAAGATGCAAAAATATAAACAGCTTGATAGCTTAAACTAGACAAAAGCTTGGAAACTAAATGCAGCAAATAGGCATGAGAAGCAGCATGTCGTTCTTGTTGCCGCCATCGTTTTTGATTGGTAGGCTGTATTTCCTCATTCCTATCTTTGTTTATTTTTTAAAAATAATCTGCATCTAGTGAGTTTTACTTATGAATACAAGAGGTTAGACAAGCTAGGACAGTGATGGCAAACCTTTTAGAGAGCAAGTGCCCAAACTGCAACCCAGACCCCACTTATTTATCTCAAAGTGCCAACACTACAATAAAACCTGAAAACTGAAGTTTTAGTTTAAAAAAACAACTCGCAGCCAGTCCAAGCCAATGTATGTATATCCTTGGCAGCGCACTGACCGGCAATGTGAAAGCTGAGATGAGTTGGGGCTCGTGATGTCATCGCATGGCGCCGCTACTCCTTTCTGAGCATGCACATGGCCCCTGTGTGCACTGTTACCAAATGCTCGGTTATTGGGGTGATGCTGGGGTGACTTGGCTCGCGTGCCGATAGAGAGGGCACTGTGTACCTACTGTGGCACGCGTGCCATAGGTTCATCACCACTGGTCTAACCCTACCCTGGGGCACTCCACTAACCCTACTATAGGGGTAAAGTTCCATTGAAAACAATGCAATTTTGAAAAACCCGTCCTTGAGTAGCTTTTTCTGCACAGCTCATCATTGCTGCCCATTCTAAACACATTCCAACCATCAAAATCGTGGCAGAACGCCTCATTTTTCTAACCCTAACCCAGTGATGATGACCCTTGTAGAGACTGAGTGCCTAAACTGCAACCCAGAACTAACGTATTTATTACAAACTGCCAACACTGCAATAAAACCTGAAAACAGCCAGTCCAAGAGAATATATATATATTCTTGGCAGCGCACTGACCAGCCATGCGAAAGCTCAGACGAGTCGCAGCTAATGTGTCGTGGCTTGTGACATCATCCCCTGGAACCATTACTCCTTTCCGAGCAAGCGCATGGCCCCTGTGTGCACTGTTATCCAGTGCTCGGCTGCTGGGGCGATGCTGGGGTGACTTGGCTCGCGTGCCGACAGAGAGGGCTCTGCGTTGGCCACCACTGTGCTAGGAGATCATTGAACCTATTAATAGCTATAAGTCCAAATAATGCAATTCTGTTTATGTTTACTCCAAATTAAGTCCCACTATGCTCATTAGGGTTTACTGTCAGGTAAGTATACATACTATTGCAACCTGAGGAATAAACTCCAGTTTTGGTGCTTGTAGGGGTCCAATTTGTGCTCTGGACATCTGTTACTGGGGCCATTATACTTTCTGTTAACAAGTTCTCACATAAAATGGGAAAATTGTTGAGCTGGTGTGAAACACACATCTCACTAAAATTCTGGCAGCACATTGATCAGCTGTCTTGTTTGTGAGGCAAAATTCCGAGAAAATAATCATTGAATGTGTCACTGGTATTTCAAAAGTAGAGATGAAGATTATATTCTTTTCTCTGAAATGTGGTTTGGCAGGCTGGCAGTGTAATGAAACAATTTTCACATAAATATTTCCTGGTGTTACTAGCTGAGCTTGTGATTGTTAATGGTGCAGTGCTCCTTGGCAGATCACGATTGACACAGATAGTCTTAATCTCTGGGAGGCTTTTCTGCTTCTTGCCATAATTAAGATTTAATTATTTATTCCCATTTAATTATTCCCATAGAAATTCCATGGCAAGTGCTTTTGCTTACCGGAATTTTAAAAACAAAAGGTATTGTATCAAAAGATAAATCAGCTCTTTGATCCTAAGTGTTGCTTCGCAGAGGCAAAGGACGGTCGATGCAGCAATTTAGTCTAATGCTCCTTTATGCCTTTCATGTGAGTAGGCCCTGACGCAAGAAGCTGCTGCACAGGGGTGCTCCTGTCCAGTGCCGGGCTGCGTTGAGGTGTTTCAATCAGTTTGGTCTCCTGAGGTTAGGACTATGTGAGATTTGTATTTCTGGTTCTTAAAATATATATGCACTTCATTCTTTAAAAAAAGTCATTACACAAGGCAACAACAGAGTCTCCGGAATTTGTTTTGGAGGGTTCAGCGTTGCATGTGCTTCTCGCATCCTTCTCTAACTTTTCCTCTCCAGGAGGTGGAAGCATGGTACCAGCCTCGTGCAGACGTGGACACCAGCAGCCTGACAGCGGCTGTGGGGGGGAGCCTTGGCCAGCTGCCTGGAACCCGTGGCTTGCTAGAGTTTCCAAGCATGGAGGAAGGCTCATTTACTCCCACAGAGGAACCTAGAAGGCTGCAAGCACCCAGCATCCCACACACTCCTCTCCTGGGTATGTGCTGCATATTCTAATCGCATTTAAAGAATTGAGCATGTCATCTCCAATTGACACGTTACCTATATATCAAATTCATCTTTATTTGCAAGGGTGACTCTTCAGAGGAGCTTCAAAATGTTGATCCTCCTGACCTCACTTTGTTACTACTTGTGATTAATAATGTTTCTATAGTTATGGGGGATTGCTCTATGGAAGGATCAGGCTAAAATGCCTGCCTGTATATTACACTGTATTGTATTTAAGCCGTTACATCTTGTGAACCAGGTAGAGCGCTTAGGCTGTTGGAGAGCATAGAAAAGAAATGTGTCAGTGCTTGTGCAGCAAGCGTTTTTATACTGCTATGGAATATTGTGGTTGATGGTAGCATGCTGATGCGTGGTCGCACTCTGGTGGGCTGTCTCCTTCTCCACACACATTCCAAGCCTCAGTTGTCTTGCATCACGTTTCACAGGCATGTTTCACTGTCTATGAAAACTCCCAGACCTTCGAAAGTAAAGGAGAAAAGTATCCTACGTGCAATGTTTCTCTTGTATTTTGCCCTCATCAAAGATTAAAAGAACAAATGCCATCATGCAGTACAGCTAAAGCTGAAGTCCAGCCAGAATCCTTTATTAAACAGATCCAGATCATCAGTGTCATCCAGGAGTGTCCCCATTTGCTGGTTACATTCAAACTGGACTACAGCTGCCAAGCTATGATCAGAGCAAGACTGTTGTCCCATTAGATCAATTTTACACCAACTGTATTAATTCGTTTGCATGGCCAACTTAAACCACTGGTTTTAACCTTTAAAGTCCTTTAAAGTCCACAAAGGTTTTTATGAGTGAGTTTCTCCTGGTTCTTGTATACAGTATCCCACTGATGTGCTTTTTTTGTTTTATGGATATTTAGCTGGGAAAATTGACGTGTCTGATTTTGGGATAGCATCTCTGTAGGGATGACTAATAGGAATTTCACTTTTTTATTCTCTGAGAAAGTCCACTGGTTTATTTGAACCATCTGAAGCGTCTGTCCTTATACCTCGTGTTTTGGTTATTCTATAAGGAAGAATCCCTGTAACCAAGAGTCTGGCAGCTAAAAAGCCAGAACATCAGAGCAATCATTTCAAAAGTTAGTAGCTGTTACATAAAAGGTGATTTTCAAAAGCTGCACCTATCAGGAACAGGTGATTTTAAAAGCTCCTCCACAGTCTAAAAGCTGCTGAGGAGTTACAGTTCCTTAAATTCTACTTTCTGCACATAAGGAAAATATTTTTAGACTTTTTATGTACATTTCTGAAGACAAGAGAAGTATCTGTTGCTCAGTGAACTCCAGTCTAGAAGTTATTTGGCTGATCAGATGTTTAACCATTAAGAACTGCATAAGGGGGAGCAGTTGCTGGTAAGGAAGATTCTGATAAAGATTAAGAGATTCCCATGACTCCGGAGTCGGGAGTGGGGATTACAGCATTGCAGCAGTTCTACTCCTGCTTGGAGGGCCACATGTAGAAGTTGGTGCTTGGGGAATATTGCTTGGCTCTGTGGATTTTCCAACAAGGAATCCCTGTTGGGTTGTTTTGGCTCCTGTGCTATTTAACATCCGTATGAAATGGTTGAGTGGGTACATCCAGAGTGTTGGAGCATGTTGCCATCGACATGCTGGCGACACACGCAGCTCTCCTTTCTTGCAGCAGGAGGACTGAGGCTGTGGATAGAGTAGACTGGTGCTTGGCTTTGGCAATGGACTGAATGGGGGCTGGTAAACTGAAGCTCAGTCCAGAGAAGAATGAGGTGCTGCGGGTGGGTAGTTCCTCTGACTGGATAGAGCGTGTTCAGTCTGTTCCCCCTGAAGAAGCAGGTGAATAGTTCAGGGGCTTTTGGAATCATCTTTGTGTTTGGGGCTCAGGTGTTGCACAGATGGGAGCCTCACGACAACATTTTGGCAAATGCTTTGGTGTCTCTCCTTTCTCTTTGCTCCTTCAGGTGAGGCAGGCAAGCGATTTGAGTGTCCTTTAATTGAGAGGGGGATCCTGCGTTCACATGAAGTACTTTCATGCATAGGTTCAAAGAGTGGATGACCTTGCTTGCTTGCTTGCTTGCTTGCTTGCTTGCTTGCTTGCTGCCTGCCTGCCTGCCTGCCTGCCTGCCTGCCTGCCTGCCTGCCTGCCTGCCTGCCTGCAACAGCCACTTATAATTTAAGGGAGGGGAAGGCCCCTAATCTTTAGGGGTTTGGTGGGTTCAGAGACTGTTGCAGAAGAGGGGAGATGAAAAGCCCTGTGTGTACCTAGGGAAGCCTGTGCATGTTACTTTGGAACCTGGTTAAAAAAAAAAAAACTTAATAGGATGCATCTTCACCAAAGCAGGGTAGTAATAGGAATATTAAAATAGATGTAACAAATGCCTAGAACTGAAACTGCTAAAAACAACATATGGGGAAAATATTATAATATGACTAAGGGAGTTATATTTGGATCATATAGTACACTTTCTTTGTAGCAGTCAGTCATTTTAGATAGTGGGGGGAAAGGCATTGCAAGTGATATGCCGCCTACACTCTGATCTCTCCCTGCTGCTTCATATTCTGATTTCTGATGGCAGATTCTGCTCTCGGTTTAGCTTTAGCATTTAGTCATTGGCAGGCTTGAGTTTCCAATTGTGACTGATGAGGTACTGGATGGTTCAGTGAATATTGCTAACAGAGTCAGAATTTGATAATGGCCATTTAAGCATTTCGCTTGATTCGAACTGGAACATGGGGCGCAATTTCCTTGCTGTGCTTGTGGAACTGTAATTGTTAGTTTTCCATCGTAGCAACAAACCTGACCATCCTGAGTCTGCTCTGGTGATTAACAATGCTGGCGACAGAACGTGTGCTGCAAGATGACTGCCTGTGTGTGCCCAAATAGTTTGCCTTGTAAATATCTCATCCTTTCTCCAGATAGCCCGGGGCAGTGCATGTGGAATATAGAAACTTGTTTAGAGGGAAAGTGTATCCTACAGAAGTAACATGGAGATGTGTGGGATGGGAAGGATATATCTTAAGTTGTCTCTTTTTTGCATCATCTAGCATTTTGATACTTTCGGTGTAAAAAGGTGCCAGTATTCCCCCCCACGCCCACTTTAGCATGCTTGTCAAACAGTGCAGCCACCTAGCAAGGGGAGTTATTTACTCTTGAATGAGGCATCGATTTCCACAGCTTTCCCCCCTCCTAAATGTATTTGCAATTTGATTTGACAGGACCTGTGCATGTGATTTGCAATGGAATGGAGAGGGAGGGTAAGTTGGCTGTTTGTAGGCTCTAAGTTCCCAGTATGAGTGTTCTCCATATTCCTTCTGTCTCGCTATAGCAGCTGCATGTAGAATCGTGTTAATATACTGGCCATTCGGAGCTTTGAGCAAGAGAGTAAAAGAATACCTGCACACTACTAAATATTGCAGCCAGGGGGAAGTGACTCCTGTGATGGAGTAAAGGAGGTGGGCATGAAAGTCATAATCGAGTAGCAGCTGATGGCAGAATTTACAAGGACGATCAGTGCCCTTAGTGCAGGGAGAAGGAACAGTGGTGTTGTTCAGGAATACTGCTGCTTACACAAGAGGAATAGGCAAACGTCAAATTGTGTGCCTGTGGCTGTGGTGATCCTGGGTATTTTGGAAACCCTACTGATGAATGAGCGAGAGTGTACTCGTCAGATCATCGCTGCTCCCTGAAATCCATCCTTTCTCTCTAGAAAGCACAGCGCCCCATTCCACAGGGAATCCTTTCCGCTGCTCATTCGGTGGCCTTTGTTTGTAATTTGTTGTTACGTCTGTTTCCAGTTTATGGCTACCCTGTGAAGGAATGCCCTCCAAAATGACCTTCCTTGATACCTCTGCTCAGTTCTTCTAAACTCAAAGTTGTCGTTTTCTGAATGGAAGTGCTCTGTCTCACAGCTGATCCCCTCCTCCTCTGCCTTTCACCTTTCCTAGCATGATTGTCCTTTCCAGCGAGCCTCGTCAGTTTCGTCATTTTTGCTTCCAGGGCAAAATCTGGCTAGGACTCGCTCGTTCCTCTTGCTGCGAATCCAGGGTACTTGCAAAGCTTCTCCTCCAGCACCATGCTTTGAATATGCCCATTTTCTTCCTGTCAGCTTTCTTCATTGTCCACTTTTTGGTCTTATGCATAGTGATGGGTAATACAACAGAGTGGACGATCTTGGCTTTAAGTCTCTGATGAAATGTCTTTACACTTGATGATCTTTTCTAGTTCCTTTCTTGCTGCCCTTCCAAGTGTCAGTCTTCTAACTTATTGGCTGCAGTTTCCCTTTGAATTGATGACTGAGCCAAGGTATGCAAAATTATTCACATTTTCACTTTCCTTTGTTGTTAACCTGAAAGTTGTATAATTATTTTGTAGTAATGATTTTTGTTTTCTTAAAGCTCAGCTGCAGCCCTGCTTTTGCATTTTCTTCTTTCTCTTTCATCAGTTGCCTTTTTAATTCATGCTTTTTGCCAGTAATATGATATTATATCATAAGCATGTTAGGTGATATTGCTGCCTCTTGTGTTAACAGGGTTAATGGAGCTCTTTGCTTAAATTTATCTAGGAGTATTTTCCAAGTCATCAGAATTATTTTTGTTCTTTTTTCCCTAAAAGTTTTTACTATGTACGATCGCAAATCACCTTCTACAATCCCTTTGAAAATATATTTCTTACTAGTTATTTTGCTAACAAAGTGAATTGTTCCAAAAGGGGTCTTTGTGTTTTCGCTTCTTTCCCTAAATGTTCAGCATGCAGTAGTCTCATTCTGGCTTTGAGGCTCTCAGCAGCAGATTGTACGATGATGCAAGATCTTCAAGGTTTGTTTGTTCAGTAAATTTAGCAGAGAGGAAGATGGTGACCTTCAGAATCAACTGTGGGATTTTTTTTTTAATACCAGGGACCCAAAGATGGTGGGATTGGTATTGCTGGTATTTCTTGCTGCTTTGATCATTAGCCTTCTAAATTGTCTCCTCACAAAATTCAAATAGGTCTCTAA